TGACAAATTCACATGGATAGGAATACATACATCATAAAATCTAAGTGTCATAAGGTTTCCCTCCTTCATGAAAATGATTGTGAGGAAATGCTTTCACTAAGAGAGATTTTAAGAAGATAGCAATTGTGAAAATTGTATTCCCAAATTCGATTATGATTACGGCATCCCTTTTCATAGTTCGAATTGTGAGATTTGGCAATTGGTCTGAACATTTGGGACTTAGTAACATAAATTCTGAATTGTTTAGACACACATGTGAGCTATCTAAGGCAAAGGTGTATGAGCTTAAAAAGCATAGATAAAGGCTTATCAAAGCATTAGGTATTAGAAATATGAACTTAAGGAATTCAATAAGCATTGTTTTCTGGAAGTTCAATTGTTTTCTGAATACATGTCAAAGATAGTGGGAGCATAAGTGTTATGCTGGTAAGAAAATAATCATCATGTTAGTGGGAGCATGATTATTATGGTAAGTATTGCAAGTTAACAATATTAATTATAGAAAACAAAGATTAACTTTGCAAAGTTGTAGGGGTTGAAAAGTTGTTTTACTATAATTAAGGGGGAGAATATTATACTTCGTTTCAAAATTCTAAAGCTTAGATCAAGAAATGTTAATAAAATTTAGTCAAGGATACATAGCACGTTCTCAAAATTCGATTATGATTACGGCATCCCTCTTCATAGTTCGAATTGTGAGAACATGGCTAACAAAATATTATGGCAGAAGACTGATAAAGTATCATGTCTTTATGTGAGACATTATGCATCGTGTCCAATACGCTTCGGGTATAGGATCGATTGCATATGCTATAATATTTGACCATTCTAAATTTTCCAAATGCCTAGGGCATTAAGAGGGAAAAAGGACTAGAAGTGGATTTGACTAAAATAATTAAACAACTATCAAATGATGATCTAAGGTTCGCCAATGATTGGTCTCTTATGAGTAGTTGGAAGTATAGTATTGGATGGACTATATTGACATTATTATGAATAGATAAGATTCTTTTAAGAATGAGTTGTCATATAGCAAATATGGAAATGTTTCCATAAATGGGAGTTGGAAATTAAGAATCTATGTAGATTAGAATTTTTTTATGCAAAAGGATGTTCAAAGGAATGTACTTTGAGTGAGAGGCATCACATCTATAGAATTGTTTCATGACAAATTCTGATAGAGTACTTTGTGATTTCATTGGCCAAGTCTTGGTGACTTTTGTGCTATGACTTTACGAAAGGATCGTTGCATAAAATGTTAGAATCTGACATATTCTAAAAGTGGCAAGAATTTTGGTATTCTTACACTAATGATAAGGATTGGGGATTGTGAAATGAGTTTCATTGGAAAAGTTTTTCAATTGATCTATTTCACAAAATATGGACCATAAGAAACCAAAGTGTGCATGCTTGGAGCATGGGACGATTGTGGTTATGATTCGAGTAATAAAGTTGATTTTCCGAAACATTAAACAATGAATAATGAGTAAATAATATGGTGTTTAAATAAAAGTGTTTTATTTACGCTCAAAAGTTTTGGGGCCATATAGGATTAAGTATTATCGTTGTGTTTCATTTTGCATGTTTTGACTTCCAGAATAACTGGGTTATTCGAACCTCCACAGTCGGTCATACGTTGGAAGTAGGTATGAAGGAAGACTGTCATGAATATGTCTGTAGATTGTCTAAGTGTTTATACATAGCACAAGTTTGCTGCAGAGTTCATGAGTGCTTTAATAAGATTAGAGTATTGGATCAAACCCACGCTCACTTGAATCACTTCATGGTCTTTATCATGAGTAATTGTGAGACGATAACATTGTATATTCTTCAAAACCGAGACGTATGAGTTGTTATTTATTGGTCGGTTGCGCATTGATAATAAGAAAACGCACCAGTAACTTGGTGTTATAAAACTTGTTGTTGTGTGTGATTCGATCAGTAAATGCAAACGAGCATTTGAGTCGAAGTTTATCCATTCCTTTTAACCAAAGTGGGATAAAAGCGATATATGTGGGCCTCTCGATGATTTAGTGATGACACCCTAAGCGCTTGTCCAAGCCGGGACTAAGTTGATGTGTTCAATTGTAGTCTGTTGTCAGTCGTCATAAATCGAAAGTCGGGAAACAGTATAGAGAGAATGATCAAATTCATGTCTTGTGTCTATACGATATCTTGAGAATGGAGGAATATATAATCCCTTATCTAAAGGACACGTGTATCTGATAAGATCAGAGTTGACAGCGGGTTTTGAAAGCTACGATTGCTGATCAGGTTCTGAAGTTATGCAAAATAGTTATTAGACTTATCCAAGTGGGAGACTGTTGGATTAGTGTCTAAGTCCATAACTATTTTGGTATGTACTTGACCCGATTATAAGCATGGTCCTTTTGGGTTGCCTTCACCATAGCAATATGTAGGATGAATTAAGGAGATAAAGGTTTAATTATGATTTATTAATATATTATGAGAATAATATATTAAAGGAGAAATCATATTTTTAATTAATATTAGTCAAGAATTAATTTTGTGGCTAAAAGAGATTAATTAAACTTAGGGGACTGGAATTGTAATTATAGGATAATTGTAATTGGGCTATGGATCACCTTGGAATAATAGGTTGGACGAATTCTATGGGGAAGCCCATTAGAAATCGTCCAAGGCATGTTCCAGAAGGGGTCCATGGGCTGCTTAGGGCTTAAGCAGTCAAATTGGGGTTTCCTTGTTGGATAACCCTAATAGCCTAAGTATATAAGGAACCCTTGGGCACAAAAAACGTGGCTAACACTCGGATTAGGGTTTCCAGTCGTTTTTGGTGCCTCTCCTCTCTTCTCTCCTTCATCTAATTGCTTAGTGGTGTTTGTGACTCCATTAGAGGTGCAACACTTGAGGCACTAAGCTTTCTGAAGCAAATCAACGCAAGGAATTGATTGTTATTACTATATAACAATCAAAGGTAATTACTAAACCCTTATTTCAGTTCTTATATGATAGATCTAGGGTTTATAACTTTGGATATTCAATTGCATGTTCATTAGACAAACTAGATCCAAAAGCTATTAGGGTTTGCATGTACACCATAGGAATGATGTATTGCTCGAAACCCATCAAGACGAACCCTCAAACTTCCTCTTCTCCCTGCTCTTTGCAACAGCACGTCCTGGTGTAGCCATATCAACTTCAATCTGAATAGCCTTGTCCATGGCAGCCGCCAATGTGCTGCATTGCCTCACATTATCTCGGTACTCTTCCGGTAACCCCTCAACATAGTGTTCCAATTGTTTTGCCTCGGTGGAACAATAAATCTTCCCGAACTGTAACTTCTCAGAGAATAAGGAATTATATTTCACAACATACATAGTTCCTTTTTCCAGTGCAAGGTACTCCTGCTCGATCCTCCTCATCAGCTCCAATGGAAAGAAACACTCCTAAAGTCTTTGGCCGAAGGCCTACCAGGTCATGACATCAAGTGTAGCCTCAGGAACAACAGAGTCCAACGCCTCCCACCACCGAAGATCCTCACAATCCAGCTTCAGTGCTGCATAACTAACTTTATGTGACTCAGTGAAGTCGTCTAAATGAAAAATATGCCTCATATTGCGCAACCACTGCATGCACAATGTTGGATCATCTCCTCCTCGAAAGACAGGGGGTCTGCAGTCTGTGAATGCTTTGAAGGAACTACCTCACCCATTGTCACGATATCTAGTGGGCTCCCTGCTCCGCTCCCGGGTAACTGAGCAGCTCTCAACTATCACCTCGCTTGGCTCCTCATTCTCCTATTCTTTACCATTCGGGGGTAAGAGACCAACAGCTCACATAGTCTCCTGCATCCGCTCCATGGATCGATTGTGTCTCTGCAACTTAGCATCCCGTGCCTCAAGCTGCTCCTAAAGGTTTGTAATGATAGCAGCACTCGCAATGCTACACTCGCTACATGTTACGTCTCGGGTGTACGGTTTTCTTGACCCCCACCAGCTCCTCCAACATTAACATTCCCATCGGCGTGCGACATGTGTAACAACCGGTAAAATTTGGTCAGAGTCGACAGTCAAACCACCGTGAGCCGTTATGCAATAAAGACCAATTGCACGTAAAATTTATGTCTATTAGGTATATGCGATTGTATTTTTAATTTAACCCACAGAGGTTTAACAAATAGATGAATAAATGTTACATCCTTATTATATATATAGGTGTGTGTTAATTACTTTTGCAAATATCTACATACAGGTATGAAATATAATGTATATATATTCGAAATAAATATACCCTTAAGATTATGTCTAGTGTATAATTCCAAAGGACCAAATACATTATATAATTACATACACAAATACATCTACTAATACATCAAATTCAAATAAATAAATAGATAAATACAAGTACAAATAGATGAATAAATGAATAAATAAGCTAATTTTCAGCCACTTTACATCCTGTTTTCTTTTGGAGCTTCATTCTGACTCGCACAAATAACTCGCACAAATGACTCACACAAGGACAACTAAGGAAAACATGGTAGGGCAAATTCTTTACTCTTTCCCTTTTCTTCCTTCTTCCTGCAACATTGAATGGAGAAGGAAGGAACAAATTACACTCAGCAATAACACTCGGACACAAACCCTAAAATCAATAGTAGAGTCGTTTTAAGCAAACTCTCTCCATTAGTCCGAATACAATGGCAGGCAAAGGTGAAGGTCCAGCGATTTGGAATTGATCTCGGGACTACGTATTCTTGTGTAGGCGTGTGGCAACATGATCGTGTGGAGATCGTTGCCAATGATCAGGGTAACAGGACGACGCCATCTTACGATGCCTTTACCGATTCCGAAAAGGTTGATCGGTGATGCCACTAAGAACCAAGTGGCGATGAATCCGACAAATACGGTTTTTTTGATGCAAAACGTCTTATTGGTCGGAGATTCAGCGATGCCTCTGTACAGAGTGACATCAAGTTATGGCCTTTTAAGGTCACTCCCGGACCAGCCGAGAAACCAATGAACGCCGTCGTCACGGCTCATGCTTACTTCAACGACTCCCAAAGACAGGCCAACAAGGATGCCGATGTTATCTCTGGTCTCAACGTCCTGTGTATCATCAACGAGCCAATCGCCGCTGCAATTGCTTACGGTCTCGACAAGAAAGCAACGAGAGTCGGAGAGAAGAACGTGCTTACCTTTGACCTCGGTGGTGGTATTTTTGATGTGTCTCTTTTAACAATCGAAGAAGGAATCTATGAAGTGAAATCAACCGCCGGTGACACCCACTATAACCCGTGCCAGATCCCTTGATTTCTGCTTCCTGAATTCACGTTTTCGTTCGTGTTCCTTCTCGTTCGATCGATCAGATGAGGGCATAAAGAGCCCCCTTTTCCTGTCATATAGCACCACCCAAACCACCCCTTTCTTCTTCCTTCTACCTCGAAGCTAAACCGAAGGACCGAACCCCAAATCATTCCACTGTAATACTTGCTACCAAATTAAACCAGAAGGGAGAAAGAAGACGCCGACTATCGCAATCGATCGGCGCCCTTGCATAGGAATTTATCGATTGACGCTTGGGATCGGATCTGCCACCCAACACTGCGTGGTCGTTGATCGAATTTCCCCGCTTTATTGACTCGGATGGATGAACCGGGTACGAAATGAAGAAGACAGAGCGCAGCGGAGTTGGTGGTGATCGCGATGCTGGTCGGTTTCCGGGTCCGGTCACCTCCCCTCCCGTTCAAGTTGTCTCCATGTGCGATCCAGTGCACCCGAAGCTCCAGTTCTCTCTGGTGGGAATCGATCGGGAAGAAATAAGGGCAAAAGCCCTAATCCTAGATGATGGGTCGGATACGGGGCACCAACAAGAAAAAGAAGGAAATGGGTTCCGGGTTTGACCCAGTCAAAGGTCAAACCTAAATCAAACTCCCCTTTAAATTTAACAAAAATTAACCTCATATGACAAATACTTTGCAATTTCAGTCCAAACCCCAATCTTTGAACCCAATTGTTGAAAACAACCCTTCCTTTGAAATTATTTTACCAAATCAGTCCCACTTTGACTAAAGTAATTTACCAACAACCCTGATATTTAGCAAAATTACAAACAATCCCTATATTGTAAACCCGTTACAAAACGGTCCCGGAAATACTTCAAAGTTCAAGGATTTTGAATGTGCGGTTCACACGGCATGTTGCTCGTTTCTCAAGAGAATCCAAATACCGTACAAATCGAACTTACGCTTCAAGGGTGAGTTCATACCCCTACATTTTATATTTTTATTAAGTTTTAAGGGGGAAATACAAGTTAAATCAACAATATCATAATTAAACGTTTCCAATAGATTACATCAGAAAAGTTGAACTTCAATCACGAACTGTGTTGGTAAACTTAAACATTTTAGTTTTCAAAACAACACAAGGTGCAAGTAGTTCAAGTTCTTGATTTTCAAATGGCTACTTGCACATCACCATACGATTTTTCTATAATTTATACATGACTCATTATTTGTATCAATATTGTTTTGTTTACGCTACATGTATTTGTAGTGCATTATCATTTTTAGTCTAATCTCCATAACTATGCCCGTATTCTTGAGGTACGTTATGGACAATAATAGCGCTATTGGGTTTACCACCCCGCCTTGGGACGCTAAGGTGATTGATCACATGTGGTTGAGTGTGTATGATGATTAGATGCTTCATCCTATATATATACATATGTATATATATAGGGTGAGGACTTATTGTTGTTGTTATCATTTGTTAACAAATTTTCGATCTATAAACCGTTATCTCAAATACAATTGTTTGCCGACTTCAAAAGCAAACAAATACTATTTTTACAAGTGAAAAGCTTTTAAAAATACAAAACAAAAACTTATGAACTCACCAACCTTTGTGTTGACACTTTTTTCAAACAACTTGTATTCTCAGGAAATCACTAAACAGGTATTCAAGTATTTCTGAGGATGGGACGTAAAGACGTCTAATATTTCTTATTTTGTCAAAGTATTGTAATTGATTTATAATCATGTAATTCATTCAATGATGTAACTTTTCAATTGTATATATGTTGGTTGTGTTTACTTGAATTACTATTGTAATTGTTGTTATGATATTACATGAAGTCCTCCACCCCCGGACGTTTCCGCCATCCTTGGTTTGGGGGTGTGACAACATGTTCCTAAATAACGACAAATTTTAGGTATACATAATAATTATAGGAAGGGAAAGTTCAGAAAGTTACATGTAATTGTCCTATATCACTCAACACACACCCTCCCCCCCCCCCCCCCTTTAAGAGCCTAAAATACCTAATTGAGCCAGTTTACACTGTGAGTCTGAACACCAACCTCTATATTTAGTTCACTCACAGTATGACTCTAATACCAACTTGTAACATCGTGATTTTTCACCCAAATTTTTTATTTTTAAAACATTTGTTTAACAGAATACATTAGCGTAAGTCTTATTTTGAATTTTATGAAGACATCACCAATGTTACTTTATCACCAAAAACATCATTCATCAAAATAAAGTTCATAAACTAAATCAAAACAAGTGTTAAGAAAATTCAACGACATGCTCAAATGATATCAATACTAGGACATAAATTGGAATGTAACTACCCAAAAGCCTCATCTTTACCAATATTGTGTGAATGTATGAACATTTATTGTCCATTGGATTAAAAGAATGAATGGTTGTGATGTGAGGGTACATGGGATAACATTTACTATATAATTACCTTAAATTAATTATAAATGTATTTTAGTTTATTAACTTATATTTAAAAATGGAAGATCCCTTATTTATCTCTTAATTTGATGAGATTTTTATTAAATACTTATTTATCTTATTTTATAAAATTAATAATGGATAATTATATCAAAAAAATTTAAAAGAACGGTTCATATCTTATTAATATGAACGCATATTCTCTTTTCATTCTTTTAAAATATTACTTTATTCAAGTGATTTTTTGAGAATTAATAATCTTAAAGAATACACATGTATATATTATGAAAAATAACATATTAAATCAAAATAATAATAATTCTTATTACAATGTTAACACATTCTTTTAAAAATCATGTAAATTCTTAGAGAACACTACAATATATTCTCAATAAAAGTTTGTATCAAAAGAATAATCACTCTTATTGCAACAGTGACATATTCTCTTGAGAATTAGGTAAAAAAATAATACAAAATCAGAATGCAATTCTTCAAAGAATGTGTGGTTTATACTAAAACTATAAATACATAAGTGGCAAAATATATTCTCTGAGAATAAAGTATAAAACAAATATCATATTTGAGAATGCATTATGAGTTTATGACGATTCTCTCCCTTCTAAAAGAATATTGTTGTTTTTGTAAGACGGATCTTGAAATTCTTGATTCTCTAAATTCTAAAAGAATATTGATGTTTTTGTAAAATGATTCCTCAAATTCTGAAAGAATACTAACCACATCAAACAAATCCAAAAATAATTATAGCCTGAAATCACAAAACAAAACGTAAGCAAATAACATTAATATCTATAACGTTAATAATGTTAATATAACAATAACAATGAAATAATGAAATAAATAAGACCCGACTAACATGAATCAATATGATCAAAAGAACGTCATTTTTCCACTGTTTCTTTCCCAACATCATTCACGATTCTTCTTGGGATGTTGATAACATAAAATTAATTTAATACATTAATGGAGGTTTGGTGGGATGGGAAAGTTAAGTGTATATATGATTAAACTAGGTGTGAGACTCATGTATTACATTGGTTTATTTAAAAAAATTTAAATATGAACTTTTAACAATTTGAAAAGTTTGAATTTATAAGAAAAATGAGAAAAAAGTTTGAATTATTAAAATTAATGAGGCATTAATGTATTGAATACATTACATATATAAACTCTTTCTAATAAATACATTACATATATATTACCATATATATTAAATGTGAAATTTTAATTTAATAAAATGAAAAATACAATAAAATGACAAATGGAAAATAGAAAATTCAAAAATTTTAGAAAATGTCATGTGTCCAAACGAAGGAGAAGATGACATGTTGCAAAAAGTTCTTTATTTATTAGGGAGGATATTAAGATGGTGAGTTTTTTTGTGGCTGAAAAGGAGTTACAAGAAGGTGTATATTGTGATTTCTTATTTTGTGTGGTCAAGAAGCAAGAACTGACGGTGCAAGGGTTATGTGTACATGGAAAAAATGTATGGATTTTTTTTCATAGAAATAATAGGTACTAGGTGGTTTAAAATATCAAAAGATAGCGAAATTAATTTGCTAAGGTTTTTAATGATGGTGGCGATGTAGATGATGTAGGGTTTTCCGATGATGATACGGTTGTGAAGGCATGAAGGAGAGGAAACTTCTATAACTGATGAATGATTTATGGGAAGTTACATAATTATCAAAATTTATTTATGGTTATTAAAACTATTGTATGCAAACTTGTAATAATACTTTTTTACGATGATTTGTCCATAATTTGCTATATAATCCCCTTCCTTATTTTGTGGCTGAAAAAGAGCTACAAGAAGGTGTATGTTGTGATTTCTTATTTTGTGTGGTCAAGAAGCAAGAACTGACGGTGCAAGGGTTATGTGTGCATGGGAAAAATGTATGGATTTTTTTTCATAGAAATAATAGGTACTAGGTGGTTTAAAACATCAAAAGATAGCGAAATTAATTTGCTAAGGTTTTTAATGATGGTGGCGATGGAGATGATGTAGGGTTTTCCGATGATGATACGGTTGTGAAGGCATGAAGGAGATGAAGCTTCTATAACTGATGAATGATTTATGGGAAGTTACATAATTATCAAAATTTATTTATGGTTATTAAAACTATTGTATGCAAACTTGTAATAATACTTTTTCACGATGATTGGTCCATAATTGGTTATATAATCCCGTTCCTTACTCTAATAAAAGAGTACCTTTAATGCCACGTGGCAACTCTTCAGCAACCCTCCAGCTTATTTCCCGCCTATGTTATCAAAGTGATTTTCCTATTATACCCTTGTGCTTGTATAAACGACATGCCCATTAAAGTCAGCCGGAAGAACGAGGAGGGTTGCAAGAAATCAGAAAACAAAATCAGATTCAAATTTGGTTTATCTCGGTTTTCACTATCAAGAAATATCAAAAAATAATAAAAACAGCTATCAAATCGGAAGAAATTAGGAAGCAAAATCATTTTCAAATTTGAATTGCATTTACTATGCTTCAGTCGACTCCATATATTACCTCAATCGCATCTATCCATGGGTCT